CAGAACTCGAGGACTGCCATCCATGCGTCATAGCGTTGGCGGGTCTTCACGAAGGACCGTCAAAACAACGATGCCACCGTATCGTTTTTTTTCAACCACAACAGAAGACATGTGTTCCAGAATGATTCAGGTGGTTCACTGCTCTCCAAAATTCCAAAGTTCCATCACGATCTTCAACAAAGTCACCTACAACAAAATTACGTATTGTCCTTTGATGCAGCAGCCACGGTAAAGTTTTACGTTCAAGGCCACAACTACAGATACAGGAATACCAGATCATTCCACCGTGACGTGATGTGATCACTGTTGACAGGGGCGCCCTTATTGAACAGGAGCATGATGACGTTTTTATGGGATTTAGGGTGACATAAAATTTATTTGAGGTCGAAGTCTTTTCGTATCGCTCATGAAACACACAGAATTCCAGAGAAGGGACCTCGGTCAATCCTTGACTGAAAGTTTTTGAGCCCATTGAAGACTCCTTGCCGGTTGGAACCGTACAGCGAGGCGACGTCGCTTGGCACTTTAAGGTCAAGTGCCAAACCTGCGAGAAAGTAATTTCGTCATCAAAAACTTCCACTTCAAGCTCAATCTCTGTTGGCGTCTCAAACATATTTTTAAAATATATTGTAGTATCAGTATTTAAATATTTGTATTTCTGCCCTCAGTGAAACGTATTCCTCTATTAGTATTTCCCAAGACTTTATGCTTATTCTTAAAATGTATCTCCGATACCTGTCGCGATAGATTTTTCTACATATATTGGAATATCGGTATTTTTGCTCCTTTTCTCATTTCTCCTAGTATTTGTATTCCCAAATACATTTTTGAGTATTTCTCCCCAACCCTGGTATGGACCTTAATTTTTGTCGACATTATTTATTGCCATTCGCGTTGCGAGCGGCGCTAGCATGTTACTGAGAACTATAAAATTTGCGTGTTGCTGTTGCGTATACCATGTGAGATAAAACGCCGTCATAGGTTCAACATAAACTTCAATCATCTTTACTAACCCTAGACATGACGAAAGTATGGTCCTGCTCGAGGAGGCTCGGCGTGAAAGTACACCACAGGCGCAAAAATTTCTGTTTGGATGAAAAGCTGGCTGGATGTGCCGGAAAGATCGCGACGTGCTAAACGACGTATGACAGAAGCTTATTAAAATGAACCCTGACGAGTATTGGAAACTGCAGTGTGTCAGCCTGGAACAGTTTCTGCTGCTCCGTTCGCGCGTGGAACTAAGAGCCGCGCCACAAACCGAACAAAACACAATGACTCGGCAATTTTGTTTAAAAAAAAAAAAGAAAAAAACAATTCTTTTACATGTAGTACACCAAATGCTTTTCAAGTTAGAGGGAGACGGAAGTGGTTTTGTATTTAAGGGGACACATTCCCAAGGGGGTCAACTTTTGAACTCTTGGCGTAAACTTAATGAAATTTACAGGGCAGGCTGAAAGTCTAGCTAGAGGATGCATAACGAAACTTCAGGTCTGTCGGTTAAATGGGAGGGAAATTAGAGCAGCTTCTCTCAGTAACGCGCCTACATTACTTAGTTAATTTACTGTTGGAAAACTATCACAATAATCAAAGTTTTTGTCTGCTACATATGTGGCGGAATGCCTAGGGGGTGCGGCTATGGAAAGATTTTTGTAAAAATGTAATTTATTTCTTTAAATATTTTCTTCTGCAAATTTAGTCAACTTTTTGGTCTTCTCTGGCTTCGACAAAATGGTAACATTTGTTTATAAAAGACATCTGTAAAGTGACAAAACAATTCCATAGCCGCATTCCTTATTAAATTTGAGTCAGGAAAAGTGAAGAACGAGCCGTCCCTTTATCGCCATTATCAAACGATAGATTGACTAAAATAAAATTTCTAGCAAAAAGCGGAACAGAGAAAAGTGTGTTCAAATTGCTGCAAATCCTACCTTTTCTTTAGCTTCACTGGACAGGAAATAATGTATAAAAAGGTAACTATGCAATGTAAACTAATTAAACTTTCTGCGGTAAACCTCAAGATGTTAGTGGATTCAAAAAGATAATTTTTCAGAATCAACTTTTGTTGCAATTTTTTTTTGTTTTGTTTTTCGGTTAGTGGCTTTCCTTAAAGAAAAACACCAAAATCGTCTTCATTTGGCCTCCAAGATCAGGAGCATAAAAAATATTTTTCAATTTGGCGCACGGAGGCTGCAAAAACTATTTTTTAAAGTTAATATCAAAATGCACGGGGCGTGGCGTGATACTAGGAGTTTTCGGAATCCCTGCTTAGCGCATCTTCAGCACCTGTCAAAGCTATCCGCATGCACTCTTGCTGTGTTCGAAAAGGTCAGATATAGACGTCACGACTGACGTCAGTGCGGAGAAATACACCTTGCAAGCTTCCGATTGCACGCGCTGCCCAAACATGCGACACGCGCCTGGCGGCCTGAAGATCCTAGTTAGACGTCACTACTGGTCGGAGGTTTTTCGGGTTTTCTCATGTTTTGTATAAATCGTTGTGGAAAATGAACGTGGTATTCAAAGCCAGGGGATAAAAATACTCTAGAATTCTTCTCTAACTCGTTTCTATTTTTTCAAGAATTGTTTCAGCTTCCCTTCAAAGGCTCTCAGCTATTCAGTCTTTTCACTCCGCGCGCCCGCGGACTGAAATAATATTTTAATTTCTTGTAGTAATATGTTCCGTCAAGAACATAGAAGTTTCGCTGTTACTAAATGAAAAAAAATACGAAATCTTTTTTGACGACTTACGATCAAAAACGAGTACAAGAGGACTCCGTTCATTTCGGCCAATCGCCCGACGTGCCTCAATTGATGTCACGGTCCACGCCATTCATAAGCTGGATTTTTCCGCAGTCTCGGGCGCGACGACCGAGAAAAAACATTGAAGAGTCCATGAAGACCACATTTAAGTTAACTTAAACGATTGATAGGAACGCCAAGCTCTTGCGCGTTGCACAAATTATTTGAATAGAACCAGCAACAATCACACCTGGACCGATGAGAGCTACTCTCATCTGTTCCGGTGTGATTGTTGCTGGGTCTATTCAATTGATTTGTGCGACGCACAAGAGCTTGGCGTTCATATCAATCGTTAAAGTGAAATTCAAAGTGGTCTTCATGGTTCTTAAAGGTTTTTATTAAGAGATTCGCGTTTGATTAATGACGAATTGCACTCGTCGTTATGGCGCGTTCCGGGATGCACTTTTTTGGAGGGCGCGTTTGCCACTGGTCTTTTGAGATCAACCTGGATGTCTTTCGCACGTCCTTTTGGAGCAGCGCCGGCTCCGATTTAGGGTTCGGAACGCCCATATCTCGATCGGCTGATCTTCCCGGAGCCGAGTGGAAGGCGATATTTGGGAGACGTAACTTCCTGCCTCGCCGAGCATGACTGGAACGGCGGTCGACCGACTTGTGACGGCGGTTTCCGGAAATGACGATAGCCCAGTACGATGCGGAATGCCGGGACGACAGTTGGTCACTCTCGCAACCCTGTCGTCTTCCGCTGATGAAGTCGGAGGCGCGGTGGCTCCGCACCAATCGGATGCTCCGTAGTGGATTTAGACTAGGGATCTCAAACGGCCAGTGGAATGGTCGTTTTGAGACGCCTGCGACCGCTTACGGAGAGTGAACACAGTGGCGTCATCTAACGGGCAGCCCTGGATACCTCACGGTCTTCCTACAGTTTTGGGTGTCATCCTTATTCATTACTGTATTATCTCAGACAAAAAAGTAGGTTTACTTAAAAACTGAAAATAAATGTATAATAAGGTGCACTCGCACCCCTAACTAAAGCCAAAAGAAAAAGCGTGCATCCCGTGATGGTGACAAGGGACCAATGTCCCAATGTTGCCGGATTCAGCTTGTTTCGTACATACTCTGTATTCTAGAACTTTTCGAACATGAACGAGGAATATGTTACAGAATGATAACGTTCTAGAAGAGGGGAGAAAGATAAAATGAGAAATTTGTCTGGTGGGGCCCCAGCCCCGTGCCTTTCCGTGGGTGACGAGCGAGACGCCAACTCTGTCGTGAATATGTCAATAGAAATCACTTTAGTAAACGTAGCCCTCGAGAGGTGTTCTGAACTTCCCTAGCAGGCAAGTGAGATGCCGCTCAGAAAGTACAGGATTGTTAAATCTCAGTTTTACGTGCTATGACTGCTATTCAGTATATGGAATCGCACTTTTTTCTATCGAAGCGACGTGAGATTTGAGGAAGTCATTTGTCGAAAACCGCTGGTGTACTCTTCCGCGTCTGCGACGGTCCGGTTTCGTGACATTAACATGTCTCGTTAGCCTCTTCGTTTATGTGTGGCCGGCATGTGACGTCATATTACATACTTATTTTCATGCATTGATGAAGAAGCCACGTGCTCAGCAAGCAATGGCCACCAGAATGGCCGCTGCTCTGCCGTGAGTGTAAGCCATATTTAGTCTCCACCGCAATAACCAAACCACTCGTGTCTCCTCTTTGACGCCGCTTCAATAGACCCTTTTCAATATTTAGTCTCACCTACCACGTGCAGAGCCAAACTCGACGCTCTAATTGCAGCGCTATGCAGCTTCTGCACCCTTGGAGAAGCGAACGCCTTTAAAAGCATGCCACAGAGAAGCGGAGAATCCATTCTAACAAGTTGGCCCTTGAAAGTCACCTTTGATTCACAAAATCGAGAGTGTTTGAAGGTAGACAATCTTGATCATCTATCACCGTCATTAGTGCGGAGAAAATACTGCTATTGAGACTGCCACGAGATGGCTCTGACTTTTGAAAAGGGTCCAGTGCCGGTGTCAATGCTCGTCTTGTGCAAAAGCTGTCTTTAAAAACATAATAAATGCAACTTCCTGTGTGCGTCATTGGAGGTATTGTTTTCATTGTCTCTCATTTTGTGTAATGTTTTAAAGGGCGCTGAATCTTTTCACCCTTTAAAAAGGTTCCTGACAAAGGCATTCTTTTATTTCCATGTGTTTTTCTCTCCTTTACGCACGTTTTTATGACGGAAAATGTATTCGGCTACACTCATCATTGCCAGCGTAGCTACTGCTCACGCCGGTGATGTATTGATTCTATTTATGCAGAAGCTTCCGCATGGCGTTTTTCTTAGTGACGTAAAATCGAATTTTACATTTCTCCTAGGCTTCAACCTCCGAGCTTTTGGGCACGATAAAGAGTTATCATGGAAATTCTGCACACAATATTGCAGACGAGAAATTTTTGTATTACGGCATGCACCATGCCCCCGAAAGGCGTAGGATTTAAATTGGCTTGGGTAAACACGCTGCATTGATTGTATTCACAGATTCCTTCATAATCGCTGACAAATAAGACGCGCTGGGTGTGGCTTAATACTATAAACTTGATTATTGCTTCGTGATTGCTTCTTTCGTGTTCTTATCCTCTAATACCGCAATCCTACTGAATGAGAAGAAATAATGATATGCTCGTTAGTCAGCACGTCCTTCACTTTGGTTGTCAATTAATGTAGAAGCGGCCTTATATAAATATATGCCGCTATATATCCCGATAACATGACGGGTTGATTGAGACACTTTAATACGTTGGTATTCTATCGGGTATCTAAATAGCGGCCAGGCTAATTATATCAACCGCAAAATTCGGTTTCTTAAGCCATCACTACGATTTTCTGCAGCGTTGCCCACAGGGGGCGGGTATTTTTCTATAAAATTCGCAACGAGCGAACTTACCTCAGGAAAATGTAAAGAAAGTCTTATTTCCCGTGGAAACCCAGCGAAGCCACCGGTCTTCAATCAATAAGGTGCCCTATTGTTTGAAGACTGGTGACTTCGCTGCGTTTCCATAGGGGTTAAGCCTTTTTTTTACATTTTTCTCACGTAAGCTTGCTCCTTGTAAAGTTTATAAAACAAATGCACCACCTGTGTGCAAACCTGCAGAACATCGTGGCGCGATGGGTTAAGAAACCGGATTTTGCGGTCGATTTAAAGAGTTTGGCCGCTACTTGATACACTCGATACTACATCCAAATCTCTTTAAAAACATAGAAGTTGCGAACGAAATTCTTGTACTCTGAACCACTCTGACGTCATATAAGTTCCATGCCGTTGGCCAGGATCCTGGCGGTGTCGCAGTGGTGGTGGTACGAGCCAAATGTACGAGCTTTCCATTTCACTTTTGCCTGGGAATTCCGGCACCAAGCGCAAGGGTTGCGACATCCGAGAGCATGACACTTCGGCTCCTGTGAGGTCTTTTGTAAAACATTCGGGATTACTTTTAAGGTATGGATGCGATAGGATCTTTAACGCACCAGTCACAGATGAGCTCTAAAGGCGTCGTACTCCATAGTTCAGCCAGCCAAAGGGCGTCATAAATTGGTAGAAAGCGACACCGAGGTCATCATACCGGAAGCAGTTGTTCGCGTATTCAACGTCTGACGTACGTCAGGTCTGCGTAAAGACCATGCATTTGGTTCCTCCTCTTATACCTACAAATTAAGAAAGGATGCAAATGTGGCTTTTTAATGCGGAACGACACTTGCATTGTACGTGCACGGAATGCACAATCACGTGATATTTTTGTTTTGCCGAGTTCCAATCTGCCAAAAATCCTTTTGCATTGTTGGGCTTTTGAGAAAATTACTCTTCGCGCTTTTCTTAGAGTCTGTTCGTTCAGATTACTTGTACAGTCGGAGTTACCAAATGGATGTGACCGTCTCAAAACGATGTTCCATTCATCATGGTGCCGTACAATTAGAGCGCTGAAGAGCGAAAAGTTTGACAGATTGCCAAAAGGTTTTCGCAAGAACAGGAGCGTAGGCGTGGTACAAAAGATTAAGGTTATAACCATCATTAACAAAAACTAGGCAACAAGGTAATCTAGATTCTTCAGTCCCTTTTTTTATGTGGTATGGCACTCTAATAGCATTTTGAGGTCTAGCGAAGTAGCATATCTTCTCATGAGCTGCATATTAAGAAATGCATATGAAAGGATAAATAGTGTTAACGAAACACGATTGGAAGATGCCCCCTCCCCCCCCCCCCTCCCTTCCCCCGAATTTCTAAATCTGTTCCGTTCGAACTATTCAGATGAGTGTAGGCTTGCTTCTTTCCATGTACTTTTATTGCATTACGTTTCCAACGTCTTGTCATTGCAGAAGGGCTTTCTTATTTTTGTTGAGTTCATTTTCCTCTGTTTGTGAAAGGGAACTTTGCTGGGAGATCTAGATACAATTTGTTTTATAAGAAAAACACCGTGAATTGTGACCACCCTTTAGTTTCTTCCTCTGTACCGAGAAGTTTGTTGCGAGAATGGAACGGTCGGATAACAGGAGCGGTTACGTTCCAGGTGTCGTCTACCCGGTTCTGATTGAAAGCAGAAGCGGCAACTCAAGAGGCGCTGTTCAACTTTCTAAAGACTACGTCATAGACTTGGAAGAATCCAGTGTTTTAGGGGACAGTCTGTATTTTTCCGATGCTAAGTATGGAGAGGTGAATCACGAATTGGTAAGGAAAGATTACCTTTCACAAGAAAGCATGCTTCCGCCTCACTGTTTGAAATTCAGTGAATTTACTTAGAAAATAAACATTCGGCCTGTTTTTTCGCTCAGAAGTTTTTTGACGTGCCCGCTAGTGCCTTTGGAGGTTTTCGTACATTTCAAAATGCCGTTCAAGCAGTATTGTCTCCGCTTATAATAACGTTAATAACACACATTTGTTTAAATGACGTGCCGACTCCCACGATTTCTTTTTTGCATTCTTTGAGGAAGTTTTACTTTCTCGATAATTTACACAACCATTCACACCGATATTCGTTCTGCGTCTTGTTGAAATTTATTGAATGTAATCATTTACTGAGTTTTCATATAATGCCATAGTTTGCGAAGAAAAAAAGCATAAGCAAGTCCACTCTGTAAAGGTGGAAGACCAGCGAAGCTGTTTAGCACACTACACAGACGTGTCAAAAAATTTTGAACAAAGGTACGACCAGATTTATTGTCTTGATTGGCGGTCATCGTGACGAGCCGGAGGCAAAAAGACACCCGCAATGCGACGGCCACCTGGCGGAATGAAGACGCGCGCGAAGGGACCGCCAATTCGGGGGGGCGGTAGGAACGGAAACTAGGCTCGCAAGCGCTCTGGACGACTACAAGGAGAGGGCGGTGCGAGAGTAGACATAGCGGATGCGGGTCGCACAAAGCCAAATCTTTGAGAAACGTTTATTATCTACCTGAGAATCTACTGATCTTGAAAATGGAGCCTATTGATAACTAATCTACTGAAGATGCATATCCAAGTGATGAGACATAAGCTTTTTCATAAAATTAAGCGATTTTGCACCAAATCCGGGAACTCACGTTTTGTTGACATACACAAAAAATCCACGAAACCCAGCAATAAATAGCGTTTCTATGAATATAACTGTTTAGCATTTCAGCTGCAACTAATATGAATATTACTTCGCAGTTATTTGTCTGATAATATGTTCTTTCCAGATGGATACTACAGACATACGTAATAGTGTTTATGAAAATGCGGAACGCAAGGCGTCCTTTACAATTACTGAAACAGACGTGGGAATTGAAATGGTATCTACACATTTTTTTAAGTATATATTCTTATAGGAACAATAAATACGATTATACAAATGCACAGAAGGCTATGCAATCGTTATTTATAAATCCTGTACTTGTTAACAACATAGATTTTCGCGAAGATTTTATAAACCTGGAGTGTTTTTTTAAGTTTCATAAAAATAAAGGAGCATTAAGCGTATTAAAAGTAAACGCCACCGCAGCGTCTAAAAAACATTACTTACGAGAACTTTAAATTATATATCTAGAATACTTTCTCCATAAATTGCTTCCTAACCAATTGAATTTTTATTAAAATGGAATGTTTGTTTAGCGATTCACAAACGGTCTGCACCGGGCAATGCTTCAATATTCAGAAATCTTTCACTTTTTTAACAGGAAGGATACCTAAACTTTACACATGGAATTGAGCCTTTGCGAATACATAACAAATCCGGCCGTGTCCCTCACAGAATATTTCCGCTACCGACGCCTGAGGAGGCGATCCACTTGGAAAGTAAGTGAAAGAGTCAATCACTACACAAGATATTTGTTGAAAATTCCATCTTTAAAGGCTAGACTTCATGAAGCAAAAATGATTAGAAATTTTGAACGTACGACCGAATTTCTTACTTCAACGTTCGCTTCACGTGCAGTGTCAATACTTGTATGCTCTCAGTTATTTGCCATTTATTCTCTCGATGAATTATTTCACCTCCCGTTTTTTTTCTCTCAACACATTCTGTTTAAAGCGTGGCGAAATGACCGCAATATTTGATTATCATTGAAAAATTAAAAAGGAGAAGTTCTTGCATAGGCGACGGCCCCTCAGTATTTCTTTATTTTTTTTACTTGCATCATTTCAACGGCTCCTGTATTAGTGATCTGAGTATGTAATCCGATGTTCAAAGTATTCAGAGTACCAGAGCATGTATGATCTCAAATCGTACCAATAATTAGCACTTTCTGAGTTAACGGAAGAGGTCAGTGGTTCGGCAGTCGGAAAAAGTTCTCATATCTTTATACTCAAGACAACCTTCCTTAAGTGCGTTCAAAGTTTCCCTTCTATTTTTCCTAAATAATTTAATTGGTAGCACTAAAGAGTTCCAAGAAAACATGTTTCTACAAACGATATTTTTGACGCAGAATATACTGGCGATTATAACGTCCCTTATGATTTTACTTAATTATGCTTGCGTTTTGGGTAACACATGTAAAAATATCACTTCGTCGTCTTTTCTTTCAAACAAAAATAATTAACTACTTTATTTCGGCATACTTCAGTTTTGATTGGATGGCATTTGAATAAACACATATGCGCTGACATCGGATATTGTAACAAGTTGAGAAAATTATCTTGAAGATATCTTGACGACTAAAAACCGCAAAAACGGGACAAAAAAAACTAATTGACAGCAAAACAGGAATTGATTCTGTATAATTTTGCTGAAGAAGCATGCCTTTGAAAAGTTATAACCTTTGACTTTAATTACTTTTTACATTCAGTATCACTATGATGTTTACAGTTCCCGTTCAAGAACGTTCTGATGAAAGACTACCGCCAAAAAGTAAGCTTATTTTGTTTGTAAAACATTTAACATATCTCAGCAATCCTCTCAATCAATTCTAGAAACACCAAGGAGCAGGCTGCAATTGCAGTTACATGCGCGGCATACATACTGGGCATTTTATAACCTTGATGCAATTTTCTGTACACAGTATAAACCCTAATTTTTCTTCTTCAGGGTTTTGCTTTGAAATATTTCGGTAGACGTCAGCTCTTGCTTCACGTGTAACTACAATTCGAGACCGCACTTTAATGATATAATGAATTTGAAAGCTTTCAATTAGAGACTGTTTCACTATCTTGCACAGAAAACAAGATCGACTTATCTGCATCGTGCAAATTAAAAAAAAATGATTACACAGTCAATTCTAAACTTGCGAAGCACTGAGAACATGCCATGATTTGAAACCTTCTAGATGACACTGCAGAGCCACCCACCGTGTGGCGACCTGAAATCTACGTCATGGTTTACAGTGTAATACACAAGTCCCTCAACGAAAGCAAATGTGTACAGGCTCAATACAACATAAGGCTTATGAACATCGTGCGTATGGTTTACATTTGTTCTTGTTTAGAAATAATATAGTAATGTCAGTTTTCATTGACCAAACAAAAAGCGCTTACTGAGGCTTTTGTGCTCCTATTACTGACACCCGTTCGAATGCCTTATTTCTTCCACGAAGGTGAATGCAATCTTCAAGACGGTTCGCAAGCCCCGAATAAACCTCCAGCTTGTTGGAATATACAGGTTTCTTTTGCGTATTCATTGTCCAACCCCCACATATTGGTATCTTTAAATTTGAAAGTCTTGTTATTGCCGCCAAGAGTGCAACACAATTGTAAACTGAAATTTTTTAGAAGAAAGCAAAATGTTTGTCATATAAAGCCGACTTTTTTATTTGAAACCGTTTGGATCAGATTGCGCTTTGCCAAGGGGAATCGAGTGAGCGGAAAACAATAACTATTTGTTTAACTATAAATTATTGGATGCCTATGATTTAAATAAGATTCATTTGCGTTATACCAGATAATATTATTTTACATTAGTATAGCTACAAAATACTGCATTTGATGACTAGATGTATTTTTGAACATGACAGATTGACTAATATATCCAACCGATCACTGAAAATATTCCGGAAGAAATAATTACTGTAAATTTAAAGTACGGTTTAAGTGACTTTTTTCTTTATTAAGCTGTGACTTTGTAGAACGAAAAAAAAACAGCTTAATATTGTGTGGTTGCGATTCACTCAGCCGACTGCTTTATGCTTGATTTCAGTGCGTTATGAGATTTTTTGTTTTGTTTAGCAATTCCTTGATATAAAAAGCAAACAATGCATATACAATGCATCGCATGATGGAAAAATTGTAAATTGTAAAACTATTTTGGGATTATTTTTGTGGAAATGTTTTTATTCAAAATATTGTAGTGAAACAGGTATGATTTAAAGCACTATTGAAACATGACAAAAATCACGATTTAAATCGTCCAGACTTTTATTCTCCACCATGCTGTTAACGCTCATGTTTTCTGGGTTGCAAGAATATTGTATTGGTCAGCTTGATGCAATGTTGTGTTTTTGATATGATAGTGCTGCAGAGCAGGTTTACACAATTGTACCGGATTCAAAAATATGTTCAGTATAGTGATTTATATATTAGGTAAATATTGAAAATATTATTAGTTACTATAGAAACTACCACACGTTTAGCAATTTGCGTAAAATGACAACGGACATGGCAGTAAAATAGATAAAAATGTCCGCAAGTGATTTACCGTTTCTACTTAGACAACTTTTTTCCTGAATTCGTGTGTTGGTCACGTTTCACAAAGTCACGGGACGTCATTTCTTCTTCTAAATTTAGCGGAGAAACTGAATTGGTGTTGAGGTCACGTGGTGTCAATTTTCCTGCTAAATCTAGCAGGCAAATTAAAATTTCGTTTAGGTCACGTGACCAAGTCAGATGACATCACTTTTTCCGCCATATTTAGCGGAGAAACAACATTGTTCTATTGGTCAAGTGACATAAAGTCATGTGACTTAATTTCCCCGTAAATTCAGAGGGGAAATAGCAGAGGTCGAGCAATAATCCGGACCCGGAATTCCATTCTTCATTTGTCTGAGATGCATCGAGGGCGCTGCAGCAGTATTGTGGGCGTTACCGAAAAAAATGTAACGAAATACGTTACTCATTACAGCAGATGATATCAAGGCCATACCAATCATAGCTGTTGCCCATCTTTTGTGTTCTGCTCTACAGCAAATATGTAACATTCCATTAGCAACTAAAGCGCCGTTCACATATATGCGCCCGAGTACGACCGAGAGAGACCAGACAGGTTTTTAAGCCGTTGGCGACGTCTTAGGAGCAGCCCCGCTGCAGCGGAGCTGGTCCTAAGAAGTCGCAAAAGGATTAAAAACCGGACTTGTCTCTCTCGGTCGTACTCGGTTGCAAGAGTGTGAACGAGCCTTAATACTTTTCCCCATGGCATGAAAATTCCAAAATTTCCTGTTTTGTACAAAGCCCAGGTACTTTTGACAACATTAATAACTATAGGCCCATATCCGTACTGCCCTTATTTTTAAAAGTATTAGAACATCTAAAACAAAAACGCCTAAGCAAATTTTTGAATGAAAGACATGTCTTTGTAATGCAGCAATACGGTTTTCAAGAAGAAAAAAAAGTCAACAGAAAGGGCGCTTTTTAGTATCAAAGAAATATCAATCAACATTTTGAAAATAAACTATTTACCACTGGAATATTTTAGACTATAGAAAAGCGTTTGATCTCATTAAACTTGATATATTGTTTTATAAACTACCGTTTTTTAGAATTCGAGGTGTTGCTTTAGATTTGGTGCGTAGTTACCTATCTTGTCGGTCACAATATTAAGTTTTAGGAAGTAAAAGTGACGTAAATCCGTCACCCGTTACTCGAACTGCGTAACGTAATTACATTACCCGTTACTGTTTTAAAAAAGTAACAAGTACGTTAAGCGTAACCGAAAATAAGCAACGCGTTGCAGGTAACGTCATTACTTGTAACGCGTTACCCCAACACTGGCGCTGAGTCATCAAACGCTGAACAGTCTTTGTGTCAAAACACCGAACTCTATGTTTCCCTCACACTCAAAAATATAACGTTGCACTCCGAAATAGAACGCGACCCAATCAACAGTGAGACAACAATCGGGGGCGATGTCAAGGTTTGTATAAAGAAAACGCACAGAAGAAAAGTGCCCCTACCTTGAAGGTTACATATGTCACAAAGAGCGGCAGAAAGCAAACGGAATGGTTTCGTTTCGTTGCCGTTACAATTGATCAAGATGCGGGGCTCCGATTTTGACTGAAAAGGACAACGTGAAAAGCAGATCCCGTAAGTTGCTCTATCCAATTTGTCTATGACGATATATTTATGCATGATAGAAACCACTGTTATTTGATTCGTTTCTTACTTACTCTTATTAGCGCCACCAGGTATATGCTTAAAGGCAGTTAACATGCCATTGCACATTTACGCTCCTTTTACTTATAGGCGACCATAACCATGCAGCAGACTAGCCGAGGCTTGTGAGGGACCAGCTGCGCTTGGCGCTGAAAACGTCAGCAGCACCCAACCCGAATACGCCCATGCCAAGTTTGTTTAATGAGGAACTTCTCCAAACCTGCTCTGCAGTTTCCTTCCAAAATATTATATCTATCACACCTACGAAGTATCCTGTAAAGTTTCTTAAACGAAATCACAAAATTTATTCTAGGTGCCAGATGAAGACGCAGCAGATGTACCCACCTTTGCCAGCCTGAAGGATTCGATGTATCGCGAAAGGCGCTCAGCGCAGCCACCGGTTCCTTCATCAGCCGACACACCGCAAGACAACGACGCCCACAAAAATACAAAAATAGCAGAGCCCTTTATCATTGACGACCGCAGAGACCCTCGTCTTGAATAGTTGTCTTCGCAACACGAAGTGGCATGCAACGGCTGTCGTCAGTTAAAATTATTTTTTTTTTTGCAGACGGGGCTTTTTTTTTTTTTTGTACCTTACATGTGTGACGAACTTGTAACTCTGCATGTTGTAACTGACGGAGTGCCTAGCGCAGCCGTTTGCTTTTTTGTTGTCGGGTCGGCTAGCTACAAATTTATGCTCGTGCTTTTGAAGGTGTATGATTACATTCACATCTGCTGGGATTCCTTCCTCGACCCCTGAAAGTTTCATGACGGATTTTGAGCAGGCGCTTTTTGGTGGTCTGCGCGTCGTGTTTCCCCAAGTTGTTCATCGCGGGTGCCATTTTCATTTTTGCGCAATAAATGTGGGCTTACGTTCAGGGGCTGGGCTCCAAAGCGCATATTCAAGAAACAGCCAGCTAAGGGCGCTCATTCGTAAGCTCGTGGCACTTTCCTTTGTTTCGCCTTCGTACATCCATCGCCCCTGGGCGTTTCTGCGTTGGGGCGTATATTGCTCGTTATTCCGCAGCTCATCGGATTACTTGATTACTTTGAGGCGACTTCGATACGGGCATTTTCCAACTGGAGCGGTGGAACCATCACGGAAGCAGGGAATACACAACCAACAACCATTTGGAGGCATGGAATCGAAAAGTTAAAGCCATGTGAGGAAGATAGCACCCGAACCCCTTCGTGTTCGTTGATTTATTCGAGAGAGATGAGGCCCAAACAAGAGTCATCTTGCTTCAAGTTGAAAACGAGCGAGCCGTACGTGCGCGAGGCCGCAAGTGGGCTAAAAAAGTAAAAAAAAAACTAACGGAGATTGAAGTACGCTGTCACAGTGGCGTCATTTCGCTTTTTTTTTAATTTCTGAACTATGCTCAAGCTTCTTTTAAAGTATAGGCATTGCTGAGAGCTTTAGCCGGAGAAATAAGTGTGTGAAAAAAGTTGCAGTCGATTCGTTGTACCAGTGTGTGATGTGTGAGAAATAAAACCAATATACGTTTTGTCGCAAACATGCGGTATCACTCTAATCGAATGTAGAAAAATGGTTTCGAACAAGCCTGAAAGGAGGGATTGGAAGGGGAGGGGGGATGCTCGTGCGTGCCTGTATACATATCTTATATCTGATGGTATGTTGGGGCCCCGAGTAAGGAAAGAAATGAGCGTCGGTATGTGTTGCGAAGAAGGGTTCCTATGGTTTGGTGAGGGTAACAAAGAAACCACTTTTTTCCACCATGACCTTGCACTATTTTAATGTCGCGATAGTATTACACCGTGTAAATGAATAAGAAAACGAAGACATATGTCTCAAAGTGATAGTGCCAATCAACAGCAATTGGGGATTCATCTGTCTAAATCAAAGTTGCAAAATCGCTCCTGTTCGCGCAGTCAACGCCGTCGGTTTTGTTTCGAAGTAACCATTCGTTTTCTATTTAAATTGTGTACAATATTTATTTTTTTCGCGAGAGATGGCGCTGTCAAAACAAAACTAGCTCATTTCTAGTTCGTTTTCGCAAATGTCCGTATGTTTCATTTGACTTATTTTATTTAGTAGGCTCAATGAAACGTATTGCAGAATTTGATAAACAATTAGAGCTAGAGACATTTTTAATCTAGAAAGTACTAATTTTCGATGATAACAGCGGTCTAATTTGTGATTGAAAAAGTAATAAAATATAAATATTTTCAATTAATACTTTATGTTTACACACGAATAAAGATGAGTATTTCGTTGTGGAGGAAGATAATGTAGTATCAGCGGGTGAGTCACTAAGCGCCTTTGGAAAATTCACGAAAAAGACCAAGTTCGCAAGGCCTGCCGATTTCTACCTGATGCTCTTTGGGTAAGCAAGATCACGTAACTCAGCCTGAGTTGTGCCGCTGAGGCAGAGATCCTAGTTCCTATGGCGATGCAATGCTGCCGAAGGATATGTGATAGATTGAGGCGTTCGTGCGACAATTTTCGGGCTTACAATAAATTAAGCACTGCGTAGATCAAATCATTGGCTTCTATAACCCCCCAAAACAAGGACTGGCTTTTATTTTTACTCAAAGGCAATCGGACAATTTTTTTTGTTTAGATAAACGAGCACAGTTAGCTTTTACCTCTTTGCCGGAAAAAGTGGCCTCATGATCTTCTATTACGGATTCTAGGCAGGCAAGTGGCAAAAACTTGGCGTAGGACGGATGGGCATTACTACAGGGTGATTTAAGGAGACTCCAGGCTCTTTAAATCGACCGGAAAATCGGGTGTCTTAACCTATCGCGCTACGATTTTGTGCAGCGTCGCCAAGATATGGTGCATTTTTTTTTGTAAAATTTGGCAAGAGCAAACTTATTTAGAAAAAAACTGAAGAAAGAAAAAGACTTAGCTCCTATGAAAACGCAGCGACGCCATCGGTCTTCAAACAACACGGTCCCCTTTTTCACGGCAGGCAACAGATGGCGCAAGCGGTCGCGACGCCAACTGCCATCAACGAAAGAGCATACGGCATCCTTAGCAGACAAAAAACTGTAGTTCCTTCTTGTTACCGAACCTGCTTTTGTTCCTGCAAATGTCGCCGCCTGCGGAACGCGCGCCGCTTTTGAGTCGAAAAGAGTGCCTGCTAAAGACGCCGGCTCTCGGCGCCGTATGCTCGTTCGTTGGCGGCGTTCGTTGCGCCATCTTCAAAAACACGGCGCCGTGTTTTTCGAAGACCGCTGGCGTCGCTGCGTTTAAATAGGAGCTAAGCCTTTTTCTTTCTTTACTTTTTCCTCAGGTAAATTTGCTCTTTGCAAAGTTTACAAAAGAAAAATGCACCATTTGTGGTCAACGCAGCACAAAGTCGTAGCGCTATAGGTTAAGAAACCGAATTTTACTGTCGATTTAAAGAGCCTGGCCTCTCTTTGAATCACTACGTAGAGTTGGGCTATTCACTGTACCGCAGTGATTAGGCGCAAACTACTACTGAAATGTTCGTCTAGCTGATTTTTTCTCACGAGCCTAACTCGAGTGATTCCGCACTGCTCATGTTGGATACTCGAGCCGGCTTCGACACTTTACCCCATACGGTGTGATCCCCGTAAATACGTCGTTAATTTTTACGAAGCAGAAAAATATTCTACCAATACAGGGAAGCTCCTGAGCTAATATTGTTTCCTGAGAGTACAGGGGGATATATTGAAACGTTTCCGCAATGAATATGAAATGAAAACAAAACCGTTTGAAGTTATGGTATTTGAAAACAGAATCCCCTCGAAGTTGAACGCACTTGATGCAAGGTGTTTCCAACTTTTCTATTCACTCTTGGAACAGAATTTCTTCAAGGCCCTCAAATACGCAATTGAATTCCTCTGTTAACTTTTCATTCGACCGAAATCTCTTTCTAGCCAAGACTGTTTTAGTTTTGGCAAAATATAAAGTGTGAGGGAATTCAAACTTCTATTGTCTTATGTTGCTTTTTTTTCTAATCGTAGCAAATGCCAAATGCAGATCATTTGCTAAGGAATAAGAAAATGCGACACCCATCTTGCGGAAAGCTTTCTGTTTTGAATTCAATTCATTACGTAAAATATTATCTACTGGGTGACGAGAGATGCCCACGGCTTCCTCTATCTTACGCACTTTCGTTCGGCGACATGCAGAACGTTTCGTCTACAGTGTCTGACGTGCTGATCGTTTCACTGTGTAGCGAACCTGATTCGTCGCTTAATGTGTGCCCCAAACCTGGAGCTTGGAATCCTCCAAAACTCACTGTTGAAAACAAAGGCAATAAATATCAAGGGCATCAAAGCTGAATTTATTTTCGTTTTTTTTCTTTATATATATATATATATATATATATATATATATATATATATATATATATATATATTATGACCACTGGGCCTTTGATTTTATTATGATTATGAAAAAAAAACATTTGCATAGTTTCCTTAAAAAATGCATCTTTATCTTTATTTTGGCATAGTTCAGTTATTAGGAGGCGGTATCTAGTTACACACATATGTGCTTATATGTGTCTATCCGATATGTGTTCAAGAGAGGACACATGTGCGCTGATATCTGTCTCCTCTTTGTCTTCGTCTTTCTCTGCGCTGTATTTACCTTACCTAGTGATGACCAAACTCGCCTGCATAACCACCTTTGGTAACTTCGTACTTCGGTGCGACTCGTGCCAGCAAGCTTGTGTACAGATTATTTCGATCCAAAATTGTAACATGCCCTCTTTTTTATGTTCCGGTTAAATTGACTTTACGGCAAGGTGACAAGAGACGTGTAAAAAAGTTGTGTTGCCCCTCAAATCGAGCGGTAGAGGTGCATAAGTCTGGCAAATACGCGCTGCATGCTACAAGTTATTCATGTATTATTTCCGAGGATAGCAAAGCCCTTTATATATGCAAATTCTAGGGATCTCGAATTGTCAGTATTAAACTGTCGTAAGCATTACAGTTTTGGTTTTAAAATTTCCTGTCAGCAGACGTTAAGAAACAATTTCCTGGAAACAATATTTCTCTTGGAAATATTAAGTGAAGTCTTCGATTTTGTCGATTGTTTATGTATAGTAAGTGAGTTTAGCGGACATTTAATAATTCTTGCGGTATCTTAATGTTCTAAATACAAAAAGGCTTATGATTTTGTCGATGCACAATTCTTTTCTCTATCTCTACGTTTGGTTCAAATCGATGGCCTAGAGAAAGGCGTGGTAAGGGCCGCGGGTAAATGTTCCATTCAAAATCCGAAGTTTTTTTAGATTGACAGGGCTGGTGATGGGTAAACACAGACGATTATATTCTCGTCTGAGTTTTTGCATCGCCAACCTTGCACCGATATCACGGGTGGTAACGTCAGCGCGCCACAACCCTTCCCAAAAGTTCCAAAATTTTCTAAAATCGACTATTTTAGTGCTTTTTGATGACGCTCAACTAAGTTTTGATTAGAATGATATGTTTTCTTACGAACTAGAACGTTGATTCACAAGTTTTAGTTAATAATCTTACCTATCGTTACAGCTCCTGTGTTACGTCCCAATCGCCGTGTAACTCATCTGCCGAGACTGCATAAGTGTAGCTTTCACGGATTTTCTAGAAAAGGACATCTAAAGCCTAAAAAGCACAAACTATATGTACATACACCGTTTCATGTGATTAATGTTCATAGCAGCAGGGATGCGCATAATTAGTATTTTTATAACTTCATTTCAGGCGCCGCTTAGGAACACGTAACAAGAAGACTAAGAAATTATCTCCTAGTATTTACGGTAAGAGAGCGGGGCCAGAAGATGCTCCGGACCACACCCCAAGTAGCACAACTCGCTGGTTTGGGAATGGGGCGGTACCGGTCTGCCGGCAAGATCCTACTGGCCCGACGCTGGAAACGCCCCGTGGGGCGACAACGGGCCAGTGAGATTGCCAGTCACTGGCCAGCGACTGGGACTGACTGGGACGCCCGGCACTGGGCGTCCCAGTGAGTTCCCGGGATGCTGCCAGCACAAACCTCCAGCGTAGTACCAGTAATACGGTAAGATACCAGCAAGACCCCAGGCTAGCTGCATCAAGCCATACAGTTCCCGGTCTTTTTTCCCAGCGAGTTCCCGGGCTGCTGCCAGCACAAATCCCCGGCATAGTACCAGCAGTACCGCAAGATACCAGCAAGACCCCAGGCTAGCGGGCTAAAACCAGACAGTTCACGGTCTTGTTTTCCATGCTAACATTTGGTTTTGTGTGCAATTCACACCTGGATAGAAATGATGTAGTTCATAACAAGGGTTATTTTAACACGTAATGTGTGTAAACAATAAATGAAACATACAAAATTGTTACCGTCATTGTTTATTGTCAGTTGCAGTGAAGCTACAGTCGGCTGGTAATCATGCGCTTGTCGCCAGAGGAGTGCGCTGAATGAAAGAGGCTGCATGTCACGGGCCTAGGAAATTTTCTTCACACTTCTCATGCAGCTTGTGCTGCAAGTCGACCATGCACCCGAGAAGGCAAGTCCTTCATTACAGCAACTGTAAAGAGAATCGACACCACAGTAGAATGACAGGGTAAATCAATAGCAGCTGGACGTGACAATCCAGAAATTCCAAACTGGGGTGAGGGGCACGAGACAAGCAGCCCATGTAAAAGGAAATTTTTTTTTGTAGCTAATGCACTAATTGTCTTTATTTTATTTTCAATCTGGAAACTATATCAAAACAAGAATCCCTAAGGGACACACCTGTAACAACACACTGGATGACCAAGGGGCGAAAATGGTCCAGTTATCTCATAATCAAGGTCAGCTATTTGTATGAAAAAGGCCCACTTCAGAGAAAGGCTTGTGGAAATCATCTATTTTAATTCAAAAGGGCATGTCGAGAGACGGGCGAGCTTGGCAGAGTAGTTGGCATGGTGTTTAACACTGACGTTTGTTACGATAGGTGTGCAGTCCCCGATATCCACATTCAGCATTTTTAGGTAAACATAGCGATTCATTAGCATTACTGAGACAATGACAAATCATATCCTTGACATATACAGCTCACCGTTGTACACATACTAATGAGATTGGGTAGACACAGGTAAACATGTAATGCATTGCAGAGTATGACACCCCGGTTCCCACATAATGGCAACTTGACGACTAAAAGTCATCTGCAGACTTCATGAAATAAAAAATAGCGACTTACACAAAAACTAGTATATATTATCAGCGTCCACCATCAAACTCACATTGAGTGTTTTCCATCGGCATGCCCTAGCCCTTTAAAATGCCCGCAAGCCTCACTTACTTTAAGCATATGACATCCCATGAGATGAAACATTCCCTCGTTATCATCATTAAAATGTCTACAGGTGCGAACAGTTCAGGAATATCAATTGAAAGATACCAAATCAGTAGTGAGGTAGTGTACAGTGGCTGGTAGATGCAGGTTAATATGTATGGGACATCTATTTTCTAAGTGATATTGTTTATCTGGTCAATTTTCTTCACATACCCATCACATACTGGGACAAGGTTCTCAATACAGTGGAAAACAGGAAGGAGGAGTGAGTTCCAGATTTAGTTTTGCACAAGTTATGTGGCAACTGACTTCATCCTCTTAGAATTTATTAGAGTGGATCTGGGTGTAATGATGCCTAGCCCGACAATACTGCCAGTAGCACATGTCCCAAAACCTTCAGAAACGGGTAGAGGAAGTTTTAATCCTAATTTCCGTATTGCGATGAGAGCTGCTCACACTGAGAATTGATGTGAGCAGTGTCGGCCATCCCTCTGTCTGAAATATCTATGCGTCAGCCACCCCCTATCAGAAAAAGTTTTAGCTGAGCGCTTTTTACGGCCCGCTCAGCTCAGCCACTGAGCGGGAAATTAACCAGGCAAGCACGTAACGCTCAGTCGGCAGTGGCCATAGGGGTGCAGGAATTGTCTTTTCCATCGGCATCTGCGCTCCAATTGGTCGTTGCTGACTGAGCGTTGTGTGCATGCAGGTGCTTTCCTTTTGAGTGGAGCGGGTCTAACAATGCTCAGATAAAACTATCTAATGTCTATGTCACAGCCTCAACAGCCAAACGAGCAGTCTTCTTCTCGCTTGCACAATAGACCAAAATTGCACTGCATACTGCTTTAGAGGCTTGTTGGCATGTTTCACACTCACTCTCTGCAGACAGCTAGGACAATCGGTAAGCGAGAGAAAAAAAAGTGTGAACACATATCATGCATGCCAAAAGAAAACATCAATGGGACTACACGAGACTGCATTAAAGTTGCCAATTGGGCGCGTTTTATACTGCACAGCCACTGGCTGAATCACATAAGTGTCACACTTGCCGAGCTTGAAGTACAGTCGTGATCTTTACGAGTGTGAACAAGCGATCGTCGACTGTTCAGTACTGGGAGCATCATGCACCAGCGGACTTGCTCTCCTTTTAAAATGCCTTGCGAACCAAGTGTGGTAAGTCATCTGATAAGGAGAGAACGTCACCACGGACAGCACTGAGCAGTTGATAATCACCTGCTTACCTTCACATGGATCAAGTCTCTACTTGGCCAAAGTAGGCAGTATGTGTGCAGCAGAAACGGCTGTACTGAAATCTCAAAAGGATGAAAGATCAGAACAGGCTTGGTGAGGTTTCACGTTGCAAGTATGCCCATGGAAATTTCACTTTCTAAAACATAAACACGCATTTCAAATTGTCATCCAGGACAAGCTGCTATTACACAGCTGTATATATAAGGCAGCTTACCATCAACAACCTTCGCAGACTGCCATGGACCTGATCCTCGGCTTGGCTGATGATGCAGGAACGAATTGGCCTAGTCGATGCTAGCTTACGTTCGGCTAGGGCTGCACTGAGTATAAAGATGAAAAAAGTGTTGTAGATTATGTGAAACAAACAAAAGCAATCCTAGCATCCACAATTCGCTAGAGGCACTGAAAACAAAAATAAGAGGTTGGGTCAATTATTTTAATGCAATATACTTCGGACACATACCATGACTGCAGGTAAGATATTTGCTGCCTTCAATCTAGATCTGCTTGAAAATTTACGAGCCAAATAACAAATATTTTTTAAGCTGAAATATATTTTGCTGGAACTACAAAATCTGAAGACTATCTCTGCAAATATGGTGCTATCTAGTACATCAGAGATGAGTAGAATTGGATTACAGCGTCCCGCTTACAAAGATTGAAGCAAAACAAGTACAGAATCTGCCGTGCCACTACAGTAAAACCTTGTTAATTCGGATCTCATGGGACCGGCAAAAATGTTCGAATTAAGCGAAAGTAGAAATATCGAAAGGACAAAGAAAGCTGCGCGAAAACGTTGCCCTGTGACAAACCTTTATTTTGAGAAAAAATCTGTTATTACCGCCTGCTTTCAGAACGACACTTGGGCGAAGACGCCAACTTTCCTTAGCGCGGTCGAGTGCTTCACCGCACTCGCACTGTCGGAGCTACGCATCCCGTGCGCTGACAATGTAGCACAGCAAGGCCTCTTCTAGTTTCGGGTGCACCACCTTCCAAGGCCGCTTTCTTTTCGCGTTGAACTTCTCGCTCTCAAAAGCCCGTAGGATATCGGCCAAAATTTTTACGTACGTGGCCAAAGTGCTTCTCTTGACGTCGTAACTTTCCACAAGTTGTCGAAAGACGCCGCCCTTTAAGGCCCTCAGTATTTCCACTTTCGTCGCTAAATTCTTAGCCTGGTACAGCTGCAACGGAAAACGAGTAGCACAACTGACCAGTAATCGGGGCGGCGAAATCGCGACACTTGGCGCCATTTTTCCCGAGCGCCGATAGCGAGAGTGCCAGTCACGTTGCAATTTACGATGCGGGGGTGGCCGACGAAAAATTGAGGGATAGGATAGTTGTTAAAATGGCGGGCTTTAGGATCCCCGCGTTGAGGCATAAAACGTGACTGTCACTCTCGCTATTGGCACACTCGGGAACAATAGCCCCGCGTGTCGCGATTTTGCCATTCCGGTCGTTGGTCACTTGTGCTACCCTTTTTCCGTTGCAGCAATGCTTCTGCCGCTTCCTTGCCAGAAGAGTAACCCGCTGAAGCACGGCGATCCAGAGCAAAACTGGTGCGAAACACGAAGAACCGAAAAACCATGGGAAAACCGGAAAAATCACGTGCGCACTTCGGATGGATATCGGTTATACCTTTTGGAACAGACGGTAGATAGCGCCACCTGCCGAATTCGTCCGAATTTACGATAGTGCGCCGCGTTCCCTCTGAATTAATGAGCGTTTGCTTCCATTGACTAATATATACGTTTGACGGGACCGAATCGGCAGTTCAAATTATCCAAATTTCCAAATTAGCGGGGGTTGAATTAACAAGGTTTTACTGTACAACAGAAACGACTCTACTTTGATCTCGTGGGGATCAGAGTTCGGAACAGGCATGAAGGATTTGGCACGAGAATTATGCCAATGTCATTATTCATTTTTCCAACATTAAAATGACTCTGAAAGTGCGACCAGCTGCAGGGTGTATTAATGCAAACCTTGTGAGTGCTGAATTGTAGGCACAGTGCCCTGGTTGTGTTCATGTGCGATATATGACCAAATACCATAGAGACCAATACTGCAAACCTCATCGAAAACCAATGGGTGCGGTGGCGAATGGCGTGAGTGGCGCTGTTCACCTCTCTTGCCGTTCATTTGTGTGTTGCCACTTCCAATGGGAAGGCTTCAGCCATTATTGGGAACACTAGATAAACAAATAAAAATGCAAACACAACACACACAGCAGTACTGGCAGCAAGCCG